CAAAAGAATAATCACAAAAAATATTAAATACATGATAATAAAGAATTTAAAATTAGTGAAATATTAAGTTATTCAAAGCTAAAGCGAGAAATGAAAGAAAATTAATAATAATTAATTAGAAAATTATTAATTTAATAAAACTATTTGAATAAGACTAAATATGGATAATAATATAGATTAAAAATAGAATTAATTATAAATAAGATTAATTAATAAATTACTTATTTGTTTAATTTAGTAATGATTGATAATTACTGTACTATGTGCTATAGCTGCACTATACAAATAAGTAATTAGTTATAATATATTACTAGGTAATCTTATATAAGATCTATAAAATAATATATTCTTATATAAGATTTATAAAGTAATAAAATATATTAGTAATTTATTAAGTAATTAGAATTTTTCTATATTATCACATAAATAAAATAATTAATTTTTATAATATAACAAATAAGAAGAAATATACTTGATAATATTATTAATTTATTTAAAAATTATTAATTATTTTTTATTTAAAAATAAGAAAGAGAAAAAGAGATATTTATTCATTAAACTTCTCAAACTCTTTCTTATTAAACTAATTAAATAGCTAAACTGATTCAATTACTTTATATAATCAAACTCTTTCAGAATATTATCAGAAACTTTGTAATATAATCTATACTTTTTATAATAAAAATAGCATCTTTGTCTGAAAGTTCTTGTTTATAAGCATTTATATATTAAGCAAATTAATATATATAATAATAAATCTTGATCAGAATAACTAATTCTAATACCTATAAAATGATTTTCTTAAGACTATTAAAAGTTATTATAATACAAATACAAGTATTACTTTATCTTTCTTCAAAATAATTTAATAAAATTAGGCTTGTTTTTTTTTATGTCATGTAGCCACGTCAAATTTTATTAATTGTGTAATTAATACATTTTCATAAATTTAGCTCACCCATCTATACTAAATACAAAGAGATGTGACTAATCATGCTTGGGTTGTCATGACTACATATTTATAGAAACCATTTTATTACCCCATTTTTCTCCTATATATTCTTGATTTGTAAACTTATTTGCTAAGAAATTATTATAATTTTGTTCATTGCATTGAAATGAGTGATGTAATTGTGTAGGAATACTGCAGATATAGGTATGTCTGTTGTGTATAACTATTGATGATAATGAAGGCTGATGATGTTTGCATTTTTTTTTATTAATTGTTGGATTATTTTTGGTTTTTATTTGGACAGCGTTTTGTTTATATTTCTTTTCTTGCGTAATATTATTTTCTTTTTCCTAATTAATTTGAGTTTTGCATCTGTTTTTCTATGTGTTTTCATATGACAATTTTGCGCCTTGTTTGCCAAGTATACGAGCAATTTTGTTTGTTTCTTTCTTGCAAATTCCAAGATTTTTGTGTTGTTGTATAAATGTATTGGTTATGATTTCTTGTAATAAATATTTGGTGGTTGTTATATCAAAGATTGTATTTATTATTTCTGTTGTGATAAGAGGTTTCAGTTGTTTATTGAGAATATTATCAATTATTTTGATCCATTATTGTTTTAGACATGTTATTAAAGATTTTCTTTATTTGTCAAGAGTGTGATATTTCCAGAAGTGTGATGTGATTTCAGGTTCTTGAAAACACATTTTGCATTTGTTTGTAAGATATATGTTAGGCCAACAAGAATATAAGTGTTCAGCTGTGGGCAAACAATTATGGAAGCTCTTGATTAAGAAAGTTCGCATATGTGCTGATTTGGATGATGTGTATCCTGATGTGATTTTTCCATCCCAGTGCCAGAGTGCTAGTGTTGTTTCCTAGTTTATAATTGTTTCTGCATTTTTCATTATGTGTGCAATACTTTTGTGTTTTTGCCAATTGAGTTTTTTCCTGTTTAATGATTGTGTTTTGATGAATTGGCAAAGATTGGAGTTGATTTCTATTGAATTATACAGTGCTTGAAATTGTAAATTGACGTGTGATGATTTGGCTAAGATGATTGGAGTGCTATTGTTTGTATATTTGGCGAGTTGGTCTGCTATTTCATTTGAAATTATATTGCTATGAGCTTTGACTTTCTTTAGTGTGATTGTAAGAGCTTTTTCTTTGATTAGCTGGATGATGTTATGCCATATTGGCCAGGCTGTGGTTTTTAGTTTGGTACAATTTGATGAATTTGTTTTGATCCATTTGTTCAAGATGGAAATTGCTACTTGGCTATCTGTATTAACTTCAATTTTTGAGTTTGGTATTATTGCTTCTAAGACTGTTAAAATTGCCATGCCTTCTGCGGTTGTGGAAACTTTTTGTGGGATCATGATTGTGAAAAAGCTAGTTTCATTTAAATTGTCAGTTCATGCTGCGTTGCTTTTTATTTTGTCTGATCCAGAGTTAATGATAGAGCCATCAGTGTAGATTTTGTGTTATTTTGATTATGCTAAAAATGTTGTTATATGTTTCCATTCTTGTTGTAGTTCTGATGGAATGATTGATATTTTTCCTGTGTCATTAAGAATATTATCAAAATCAACTATCTTATCCTTGAAGAGATGTTTTTTTGGATGCCATGACGTATATTTGTAATGACTATTATTGAATTTGATTTGCCATGTGTGATGTTGAATTGATCTGTCTAATGCTATTGTTTGTGCTTTGATGATTTTGAATCAGTTTGATATTTTGCCTTTACTTATATCTCGTGTGTATTTGGTATATTTAGACCATATGACTAGTTTGTCTGTTTGATCTGTTAGTTATTTCAAATAGAGAAGATTTTCTTTTTTGAGATCTTTGCAATATTTTTGGTATAATGAATGTGATGCTATTATGTTTTCAATAGGCCAGTTGTATCCATAGATGAGTGCAGGTATCTATGGTTTGTTTGGAGAAATTTTGAATCTAATTCTTCGTTCTGCCATTATGTTGATGATGTCTGCTATTAAATTATAGCCTGGTTTAGTTTTTTCTATTTCTGGTGTTTTGAGTATATTGAAGATTGACCAGCGTTGTTATTGAAGGTTTGCTAGTCTGATTTTTGTTGTTATTGTTGCTAAATTAGTGGAGTTCAATCTGATGAACAATTTATTAACTTTGCTTTTGGCTTGTAAATCTGCTATGTCACATAGATTATAAATTTCTGGATGTTTAAGAGCTGCAGAGAGAAAGATTTGTGGGAGGAATGCCTTTATTCTGACTGTGTTATTGATTATTGAGTTCCATTTGTTTGCATAGGTTTTGTTGATAAAGATAAGCATTGTTCTGTATTCGATTGCTGGTGCAAATATATTATTGAAAATGTAAATGGTTTGTTTGTCTGTGATTTGCTTGCGTCTGAGTAGAGTGCAAATATGTTTGATTTTGGAGTCTGTCATATTGAGTACTATATTGGATTTACCATCTGCTTATAGCCATACTCCAAGGTATCTTGCTGGTGTGTTGGATGATAGTATTTTAATATTGATGTTATTGTTTAAATTGAGAGCAGAAAGATTACTAGTATATGATATGATACGAATTATCTCTGTTTTGTCATAGTTAATTTCTATATTTGCCATCCAAAAAAAACTGAGAGCTGTATTTAAGATATTTTGTGCTCCTTTTGTTGACTTGGCTATCCAGCAAGTATCATCCACATATGCCAGATGATTAATGATATATGTTATCATAGTGTTTTTCATGTTATCAATATATTTTGTGTTGGTGTGATGTAAAATATATCCTTCATTTTTATGTCTTATGCTGATTTCACATAATAGTGGATCATAAAATATTCACCATAGTATTGGAGAGTATATTTCCTCTTGATCAATTCCATCTTCTATTTGATATATTAGGCTTGGTTCATATTCTGTTAATATTGAACTCATTCTGTTTTGGTGAATATGTTCTAAAATATTTATGATTATTTTGTTCATTTTGATTCTATTTAGCACTTTTCTAAGAGGATCCAGCCCACTGAATCAAATGCCTTTTTCATGTCTTGAAATATCAGCCATGCTTCTTTATTAAACTCTCGTGCATATTCCATGATGTTATTTATGATGTGAATTGGAATGTATGTACTGGTATTTTTTAAAACTAATATGTTGTTGTCCTGAAGTATGTTATATTTTTCGCATATGTTTGATATTCGATTAGTAATAATATGAGTAAAGAGTTTTCTTGCTATTTCTATTAGTGTTATGGGTCTGGTGATGTTGATGTCTCCTCTCCAGTATTTGAATTTGGGAATTAATATTATTGTGGCTGTTTTCCATTCGTGAGATACATCTTCTTTTATTAAGCATGCATTGAATAGTTGGTGAAGTGATTTGATTATTTTGGCATTAGCGTATTTCTATGATTCTGTAGAAATTCCTGAGGATCCTGGTGCTTTATTACAAGGTGAATTTCAAAGTGTTTGCGACATTTCTGATTCATTAATTGAGTTGGATATATTATTGAAAATGTGATCTTGAATGTTGGATTTGGGTTGATATTGATCATATGTCATTGGTGAAATTCAGATTGATTGATATTGTGCTTTTTTGTCTATTACTTTACTTTGATGTTTGTTATTTATTTTATTTCTTCTGGATCACTATGATATCCATCTTCATCTATAATGTGATCTAATATTATGCAATGATATTTTTCTAGTATGCTTTTTATCATATTGCCTTTTTCTGTTTCAAAAGCTTTTTCTCTTTTTGTGATTGCTGATACTATTTGTTGAGTTTGTTCTTTTTTTATTTCAAATTTGTATGCTTTGCAATATTATTTGTGCCATGTGTTGATTTGTTCTTTCTACTGTGTTATGCTATCATCAGAGCTTCATTCTGGAAGATTGATTGCATCTTTTGGAAAAATTGATGACCATTTTTGATGTAGGTTGCAAATTTGTAATTTGTTGGGTATATCGATATTTTATTTACTGATTTGTTTAATATTGTGTATGATTTTTTTTGCTTTGAACAGGTTTGACTCTTTTTTGGTATGCAAATTTGTGGCTCCTAATTTTTTGGTGGGTAATATTTTTGCTGATTCTAATATTATATTTTTGAGGATGTTCCAGTGAGTATTGATATCTACTTTAAATGAGAGATTTGTAGAGATGAGTTTGATGAAGTTTTGATAGGTATTGATCTTGTATATTTCTCAATCTGTTTTAGTTATTTTTTTGATATTAATTGTTTTACGAAAATATTTTTTGTATTTGCATTTTTGGTATTGCATTCTTGTTAAGATTTGATTAGTATCAAGGTTTATACTGATTGGTGTGTGATCAGAAAAACTGTCTATTGATTGTATTGTTATAGGAGTGGAATGTGCAGCTATTGATAGATTGATGAAAATATAATCTAGGATTCTAGTTATGTTATTTTGTTATCAAGTGTGTGTGACTGTATGTGTATATATATTTATATCATGTATGTTAATGAGTCCATATTCAATGATGTTGTTAATTGTTGGATATTTGGATTGATTATCCTTATAAAAAATTGCGTCTTCATTGAAATCTCCAGCAATTATAATTGGTTCATTTTTTGTTGTGACTTTTGTGATATAGTTAATTATTTGCTGTTTAATGATGGATATTGCCTGGTTTATTGATGCTGGGTTATAATAGTTAATAATGTGTAATATTTTTTTTCCTTTGAATTTTAATGTTAGGTGTAACAGTCTGCCTTCAAATTTATTGATTTCTTCAACGTGTCTGGCCCATTTATTTTTCATTATTATTGCTATACCTTGTCCAAGTGTGTGTATAGTTATTGATTCATAAAATGTAGTAAATGATTTGTGTTCTAGGTTGAATTTGGATTCTTGATTTTTTCTGAGTTTGGTTTCTGTAAGAAAGGTATAATCGAAGTCATTTTCATAAATCCAGTCATTAAGAGTATATAGCTTGCTTATATTATTTATGCCTCGAATATTTATTGTACAAATTTTCTAATAGTTGTGATTGTTATTATTCATGTGATAGTTATTTGTGTTTGATGTTATTTGTGATACTGTTTGCTATTGCCGCAAATCTTGTTTAATCTCATTGTTATGTGTTATCATTGTCTAATATGATTGTTTCTGTTTCCATTGTTTGTGATATTTGAATAGCTTTGGCTAAAGTGTTGATTGATTTTTTGAGATGGATGAATAGATTCAGTGTTGAATTGATGTGGTTGTTAAGGATATTAAATTCTTGCGAGTGTTTATTATTGTTGATTTATTGTTATTGAATTTGTTTTTCCGATGTTGGAGTTGCAATTTGAATGTTCATTTTTTCTGCCAAATGGTTGATCATTTTCATTGCATTGTCTAGATTTTCTTCAATTCTGTTCATTTTTTATTTTAGTTCATTTTTTATTTTAGTTCATTCTATTCATTTTGTTGATGATTGGGTTTTTCCTTTGCTTGTTTTTGGTTGTCTTGTTTTTGATTTATGTTGATTTTTATGACATTTGCAAAGATGTGATTTTTAAAGACGAATTTGTTATTGTCTTGGAGTTTGGTTTTTTGAGGATGAGGAAAGCATTTGAATGAAATGGATTGAATCGCATTCTATTTGACTTGTTTGCTTGATATTTTGTTTTTTTTCTGGCAGTTTACAATAAGATGATCTGCCTGATGGCAGAATGTGCATGTTTTGTGATTGGTTGTTGTCCAAACTAAATTGTGATTATGAAGCAAATATTTGGTTTATATTGTCTTTTCTCTATTATCGCTAGAGTCAAAGGAGATGAATGCGATTCCTATTCAGTTATATTTATTTCTGATACATGAAATAAAACAAGTTTTTGCTTTGATTTCATCAAGTAGTTGTTTTAATTCATAAGTAATTATTTAGAATATTCATTAATATCAGATATGAATATTTTAGATTATTGTTAAATTTTCATTCTTAATTATTTTAAGAATTTATGACTGATAATATATTCTGATACTCTAATATTAACAATTAAATTTATAGAAGTTTTATCAAAATAGTTTTAATTTTTTGTATAAATATTACTTTTCATTTGAAAATATCTTAATAAGTTAAGTAATGGTAATATTAGCTTTCTGAGATACTAAATTTTTAAGTATATTATAGATTTCTGCTTTATAAGAATTAAAAGCTGAACTTTTTCTTTTTTTTTAAATTAATCTTATCTTTTTCAAAAACTTCTGATAGAGATAAGATAGCTTTATAATTCTTTTCACTTTCTTTATCTTCTTTAGTAATTCTAGCATATTTTCTTTCTTCAGCTAGATAATTATAAATTGCTATAAAGAAAGAATTGGATTAGATAGATAAATCACTTGGTAAATTATTAGTAAATACTTATAAAATTACTGTAAGATTATTTTATTAATGATTATAAACAAGATAAAATGTGATATGAACAGTTTTAATTTTATAGCTTATAATTATTTTTATTATTTAAAAGTATTCAGATTTAAAGTCAAAGTATAAAACAGACAGGTCATATTTATAATAAAAGAAGTGAATATAAAATACAAATAAATTAATAATAATTTATAAATAAAATACATATGGATTGAATAGAATTAATTAATTTAATTTATATTTCTGGAGGACAACTAATTATAATTCAATAAGTAATGATAATTATAAATAATAATAAATAATAATATAAATAAATAATAAGAAGAATAAATAAAATTATAAAGAAAATAATTAATTAATAATTGTGATACATATAGTGATTATATGTGCTAAATCTAGATATATTAGATACATAATGATTATTTGTATATTAAGAGTGAATTGATCTTTTTGAAAATGTAATACAAAATTAATCTGTTATACAGATAGCATAAAATAAAGATCTAAACTAAAAGAGATCTAAAGAGAGATAATTCAATCAAAATTATTATATATCTCTTTACTTAAAGTATAATATCCTTATTATATTCAAGTACGTGATTTTTCAAAGATATTAATCTTCTTCATAATATTTTTCAAGTTGTCAAGAGATTCTCAAGTTACATCATAGAGAGAATAACTGAGTCATTTAACAAGATATTGGAATTTGTAATAATGAATTCTTTTATCAAGAATATTTTCAACTTCATATTCTTCTTTATTATCAGAAGTGATGATTGTTGGTGATGATTATCTATTAAATTCATCATCTAGATTATATTTTTTTAAAAGTAAAATATGAAATACTGGATTCAATTTCATATTAGTTGATAATTGTAATTTATAAGTGACAGAAGATATTTTGGTAATAATCTCAAAGAGATCTATGAATTTTGATATAAGTTTCTTGATTGTTCTTTGTTTATCAACTGGAGATTCTAGATTACAAGTAGATAGAAGAACTTTATCTTCAAGATTGAATTCTTCAAATCTTTTGTGTAGATTTACATATTTACTTTGTCAATCTTGTACTTCTAATAATAGATCTTTTACTATTTTTATTATGATATTCCAATGTCTCATGAAATTTTGTAATGTTGCAATATTATTTTATTATGATAAGATATTGATTGATGTATGAGATGCTTGTTCACAATCTAATTTAAAAGATATGTGACCTGTTAAAGCATTTTTATTATTATTATAGATGAATTCTATAGCTGTCAAGTTTTCATCCTATCTATTTTGTTGATAGATAGTATATATTCTTAATATTTCTTTTAATATTCTATTAAGTTTTTCAGTCTGGCCATCTATCTGAAGATGAAAGACTATAGACATAGCAAGTTTTATATCTAGTTATTCAAAAAGAAACTTCCAAAAGCAACTTGTGAATTTTGCATCTCTATCTGATATTATAATATGGGTAAGCTATGCAATTTAAAGATATTTTCAAAGAAAATTCTTGTAATATCAGGTGTTATTACTATTGTTATGATTAGTACAAAGTGTGCTCTTTTAGATAACTTATCTATATAGTATCATATTTAGACTTGATGATTAGAAGTTGAACTATGAAATTCATGGTAATATGTTTCTATCTATATTCTAAAATAGTTAAATATTGAAGTAATCCTGAAGATTGCTAATTACTAGATTTGTTGCATTGACAAGATTCACAACTAGTAATATATTTATAAATATTCTTATTCATCTTGGATCAATAGAATTATTAAAAAACTACAACATAGATTTTATCTATATCAATAATAAATAAAAACTAAGATATGTATGTGTGAAATGTGTGTGATGCATATGCATAAAGTATATATGATATGTAATGTGTAAGATGATAAAGAGCAATCTTTGTAATAATCATGTTTACTACTATCAAGTTGTAAGATTATTTTGTTAATGATTATAAACAAGATAAAATATGATATGAACAGTTTTAATTTTATAACTTATGATTATTTTTATTATTTAAAAGTATTCAGATCTAAAGTTAAAGTACAGAATAGACAGATTATATTTATAATAAAAGAAGTAAATATAAAATACAAATAAATTAATAATAATCTATAAATAAAATACACATTGATTGAA